TAAGTGCAAACTTGTATTTGTCCTTTCTTAAAAAGTAGAGAGTAGAACAGGGCAATAAGGGAATAGGGTACGGGAAAGTGATAATGGGGAAATGGTCAGATAAGTATTAGCTACATGCTCCCGAGCTCACTGAGGCCTCAGGCTGCAAAAAAAGGACCAGGGCCGGTTAATGAAAAGAAGAAAAAAATGTGTTAAATTAATAAGTAAATTGCGTGCAAAAAGACTGTATGCAAATTTGTATGCTCTATAAATGTAAATACTATGTATTATTATTTACTAAATAATACTGCAAAAAATCATGTGAGCTAGTTGATATTATCTGGTTCTTGATGTCTTCCTATTAAGCAGCAATATGGTAGCTGAGATTTGCTTATTCAAATATTTTATAAATTATTCGGTTCCTGACTCCCCTACGCTCTTGGTTTAGTGGCTTGTGACAATCACCCTGCGGTTATGATGCATGTGTGACATTAACGCAAACAGCCGACCAAGTAGCTTATCACAGTGGGTGGACCACGCCCACCGCTTAAAATGAAAATCAGGCAATTGGGGAAAGGCTAATGTGAGGTTAGCATATAAATAGGCTTGCCAGTGGCTGGGTTTATCTTCAGATAACACTTGAAGTGTGAATTTCCGTTCAGCAGCATTTGGTTATTTGAAACTTAGAGTTAAGTAAAGTTTAATATTAATTTCGTAATGCTTTAGGTAACTTTAATCGGTGGAAATTTATTCCGAGCCGATATATATAATATATAAATTTATTGGTTGCTTTAATGTACTGATTCAAATGATCTTGTTTATAATTTAATTTCATTGTGTTTTAACTATTTCTTTTTTTTCATATTAACTTTTTTATTTAGCTTTTTTACGTTTCAAGGGGATTTACCTCAAACTGATTCAGTTTATTACTTTATTACTTAGTGGTGTGTGGTCATTAAGGCAACACAATTAAAACGGGCAAGGTTCGGAAAAAGAAAAAGTTAATATGCATTTTTGGGGATTTGATTTATTTTATATGATCATTAGTTAAGGTAGTATGAAATTAAAAAAAACGCACATGCGTAGTGTTTGTTTATAAAAATGTTCTTTAAGTTCATACTTCATAATAAATGAGTTCATTACAGAATTTTGTTTTCCATATTTTTATACCCTTGCAGAGGGTATTATAATTTTGTCGTGAAATGTGTAACGCATAGAAGGAGACATCTCCGACCCCATAAAGTATATATATTCTTGATCAGTATCAACAGCCGAGTTGATATAGCCATGTCCGTCTGTCCGTCTGTCTGTTTCTATGCGAACTAGTCTCTCAGTTTTAAAGCTATCTTTATGAAACTTTGCAGAATTCCCTCTTTCTGTTGCACGCAGTTCATATGTCAAAACCAGCTGGATCGGACCACTATATCATATAGCTGCCATAGGAACGATCGGTCGAAAAGTAGGTTCTTGTATGAAAAACATTTTTGTTTATAAAGTTATCTTGACTAAACTCGGTATTTATTAGTTTTACTACGCTCCCCATATATATGCAAAATCCTATTAAGATCGGACAACTATATCATATAGCTGCCATAGGAACGATCGGTCGAAAATTAAGTTTTTGTATGGAAAGTTTTTATGTTTTTCAAGATATCTTGACCAAACTCGGTACTTATTAGTTTTACTAAGCTCCCCATTGATATGCAAAATCCTATTAAGATCGGACAACTATATCATATAGCTGCCATAGGAACGATCGGTCGAAAATTAAGTTTTTGTATGGAAAGTTTTTATGTTTTTCAAGATATCTTGACCAAACTCGGTATTTATTAGTTTTACGCTTTACTACGCTCCCCATATATATACAAAATCCTATTAAGATCGGACAACTATATCATATAGCTGCCATAGGAAAGATCGGTCGAAAATTAAGTTTTTGTATGGAAAATTTTTATGTGTTTCAAGATATCTTGACCAAACTCGGTATTTATTAGTTTTACTACGCTCCCCATATATATGCAAAATCCTATTAAGATCGGACAACTATATCATATAGCTGCCATAGGAACGATCGGTCGAAAGTTATGCTGTTGTATGGAATTTTTTTTGTTTGTCAAGATATCTTGACCAAACTCGGCATTTATTAGTTTTATTATGCTCCCTCCACTTATGCAAAATCTTATTCACATCGGGCTACTATATCATATAGCTGCCATAGGAATGATCGGTCGAAAATTAAGTTGTTGTATGGAGCCCTGTTTTGTTTTTCAAGATATCTTAACCATACTCGGCATTAACTATTTTCCTTGTGCTTCTAAGATACGGGCAAAGCACTATGAGCATTTTGAAAAGGTTGGGTCTGCAAGGGTATTAAATCTTCGGCGTGCCGAAGATAGCACTTCTTTCTCGTTTTTTTTCATTTCAAGCTGCTTCCAGTTTTTGCACAATGTTCTTCTCGTGAGCAGTTTTCATTTCCTTAAACGCTGTTTTTCCCATCTGTTTATTTTTGTTTCCTGAAACTTGCCTCAAATGTGAATAACCTTTAAAACTGCTGCAGACGCTTTTGTTCTCCTTTTGATTCACGGCCTTTTGAATTTATGTATTGATTCGCCCTATGCCGTTAGCCAACTTTGAATTGGGCTCATTTTGGCCAATGGCCAATTAAGTTTTTCTCTTGCATCGAAGGGATGTTCGTCCATTAACCGATTAGCTATCTCCTTTCTTTCTTGCAATAATTCAGAGCGGCCAGCCGCAATCATGAAAACTTAAAAAAGCGCTTTTGGGTTTTCAAGTGAGACTCCACTACCAGCTACCACATTTCGTGCTTGCATAATCCTGGCTAAATGCAGTTATTGGTAGCTTCGCTCCTGTAAATTTTAGTTCGCTCTTGTTGTTGAGGTTCTCATCTCGCTGCTTGAGTACCTAATGAACTTGGCTAAGGGAAGTTAAGCTTGTTTAGCTCCGACTTGGCTTCACTGTTTCGCCTTGCTTAACACTTGGCTGCGTTGAAGCAAGTCAAGCGTCCTACATCACTTGGCCAAGTTAACCTGAAACAAAGCACGCACTGCTTAAAGTGAAATCTGAGCGTATTGCCTTTTCATAAGTAATTGGGTTAAATGGGGTTTCAGTTAATTAATATGAATTATAAATTGTTAACTCAATTATATTGAGGAATGTTATGTTTTCTACACTGAGCATAGTTTCAAACTTCTATGTTTATATATAAACACATTTGCATTTTAGCATTTTAGCAAAAAGATGTCTGATTTTCGCAAACTGAAAAATGGTATTTGGGTTTTATTTGTGGGTTTTATCATAACAAAAATGCTATTACCAAAATATTTTTTGCACCGCTTTCAAGTCAAACTCCATAAAAATTATTTCCCAATGAAAAAAGTAGAACAATTCACCTGCCATAAAAAGCTTTAGTCCCTCGGCTATAAATAGCATCGATTGCGGCAGCTGCCAAATTTCCTCCCGTTTTTGAGCATTAATGGATAAGGTGTCAATAAAGGAAAAAGTAGCTTCAGTTTTTGTGCACTTCCGCGAACATCAGCATTCACTCATCAGTCCACGGGGAAGGGGGTGGGGTAAAAAAGGAAGCGAAGAGTGTAGAGAAGGGACACTGTGGGAGATCAACATTAACATCCTTCGCGTTGTCATTGATGAATTTAACTTTTAGCTGTCAGCGCTTTTTTTGCTGTTCCAGTTTTATACCCTAACAGAGGGTATTATTATTTTCATTAAATGCTAAAGCACTGAAAAAAACAAATCCTATCCTTTGGGAAATAGAGTAAATACAGAACTTAGGCGATGTGATACATTTTTAACAAAATAATTATGAATAATATTATATTTCGGAGTTTGTGTCCAGACTGCAGTCCATACCCAAGTATAGGTTCTGATACTGGAGTGATTCATTTAAAAATATAGTCTCCTACTGGGTTATTTAGGTTAAGGTCAAGTTTTAATTAATCCACATAAGTCTTGTCCCACTACTGATTGTTATTTAAGAAAATCAAAAAACTATGTAGTAAACTTTTGGGTATTAGCCATTACACATAAAGTTTTTCGTAACTTGGTTTGCATAGATATATATTTGGCAGACTTTATTTTAGATTTTATCCTAGTATGCTATTAAGGATATTTTCACTTCGTTATGTGGAGGCTAAAATTTCTGTTCCGTTCTTGTTCGCTTTTGTCCTTTGGCTTTGTCTTGTTGTCATTTTTAATATGCATGCCATTTGCCATAGATATGCGGGTATTGAGATACTTTTTGTAACTTTTTCGGGCCATATTTCAACGTGGGTACAACTTGGGACAACTGACCGTTTTACGTTTCCATTCGGCTGCCATTAGCCATAAAATGGCAGCCATTTCGGATGGGTGGGGGGTGGGCCATTCGCCATTTGTCCGTCTCCTATTGCTGTCTGTCCCTACAAAGCATTTTCGTAATTACGCTCTTAAAAGTTGCATAAAAAACTGTCCTTAAAAATGTTAAGTTGTTTCGCTTTGGGTTGATATTGCAAAAGAACGGAACTTAAATATGGTTTTTGTGTGGTAAAATTTTCTTATGCATTTTTAATATGATGCGTACATTTTTAATGAATTCTTCTCTTTCTCTTTTTACAGCGCCAATTAATTGAAATTGTGTTTTTTAAGGTAAGTGCAGCATTTATTTTAATTGGCATAATTTGCTTACAGGATTTTGTGAAATATGCGAATTGACCAAAACAAATAGTTGAACAAATAGTCAGGTTTTGTTTCGATTGTAGAAATATTATTTTTCTGCTTTATTTTTCCCTATTTCTCGATGTTTTTCAGGCGTTTAGTTTAAGTAGCGCCCAAGTAGTGCTACATAAAGTTTGGGTTAGTCTAAATTCGGTATAAAATGGTCATGCAAATTATAAAATTGTATTTAATATTTTTCAACCATTCATTAACGTGCAGCCAGCTCGTTAGCATTGCCCTTACCGTGCGCTCCCCTGCCCTTCCTGTGACCACAAAAAAACACTAGCTCGGCAAATTTTCTTGGCCGAAACCAAAATTTTAATTGCACACGGAAAATTTAACGCCACAGAATATGCAACGCTTTTCGCCTAATTGCAACCGCCTGGCACTAAATTTGTGTCTGGTCCAATGAAGCATGCCACATGCCCGGGCCTGCAACCAGGGCAGCCCGCCCATAGCCATACCTCCTTCTGCGCATCAAGTGCAGCCATTGCTGGAGAAGAAATCGCAGCGTCAAACGCAAAACCGAAATGTAATTTAAAATTTTTGTGCGACGCTGGCACGAAATTTACTCCAATTTAGATTTGAATAGACTTACCAGGAAAGGGTATTTTATTGAAAAAGATATCAGTGAAGCCAAGACTAAAGTGAACAGCCCAAAGATTTATATAGTTGACGTAAGTTAGCCTCTTTCATTTGCAGTTCTCGGAGACGGACACAGGCATAGTATCTACAATTAATTATAGGCTAATATTAGATATATCTCATACTCCTGTAGCACACTGCATTTACGAGTCATTTTCATTGCAGACATCAATAATATTTAATTTTCTTTTTGGTTTCAACGAGTTTTTGTTTACAATCGAATCGTTTCATTGTTAGAGATACAGCTCTGTGTCTACGATAACATTATAAGTCACTAACTGAAACCGTTCCATCGAGATGGCAAAGATCAATATAAATAAATAAATAATAAATAAATATAAAAGTTCATTGTGAACGGTTTCCAAACGGTAGACAGCAAGTGTTGTAAAACGAATAGTCCGAAGCTATTAATCACGTAATTCTTAAGCAAACTAAATCTTTAATTATCGCTTACGCAGTATTGGGGAACGAGGAAAGATTTGACAAAGTACTCACTGGAAAATGAATAAAATTTCTGTAATTTGTAGTGTATTCAAGGTTTGGCAACAGCACAGATAACTTTCACAGTTTTTTGCCCCATTTCCTTTATCGTTTCGCCTTCAGGCTGTTCGTTGATTAAGCGCCGCAAATTATGCTAACAAAACCGTGAGCGAAGTTTTGATGCCGTTTGATTGGATTTTTGGCATTGACGTGCCAAATGCGAAATTTGCGAGTTGGCCAAAAGGGGATTTATGTACCGTGCGTGTGTGTTATAAATATATGTTTTTTGGACTTTAACAAAAGGTAGCTAACTTTGTGCTCAAGCTTAATTAACAGTTCAAATAACTGGTCATAGCTGATTTAAGCAAGCACAGAAAGAAGAAGAGAAGGGAGGGAGTAAGCTGGGTGGATAGAAAGGTGCGAAAGTAATTAAGAGGGGGGTTTCCACGGAATTGAATCGCCTTACGCTCATATTGCGTTGCCCACTTTTGTGGGAAGCCCTTAATTTCCTGTTCGCCCCAACCTTTGCTTACGTCTATTATGCAGTGGTGCGTTGCACAACAGAAAGGCAAAACAGTGATGTGGGCTTGGATGGGTGTGGGTATGAGGGGGTTACACTTGTTGCCGCCAAGTTGCAAGTGGCAACTTTGACAGCGTTAATTTACATGCCTGGCCTTCAGTTTTCCGACCAAAAGAGTTCCTGTTAAGCCCTCTCCAAGCACTTCTGCGCAAACACACAGTCTCACGCACTCTCTCTCACACACACACACACGAGCACACGCACACGTAATTAATGCGTTTGTGTGCGCGATAACATTGATCTGCAAGTGTGTGCGTCTGTGTAAGTGTGTGGTTGTATTTGCCTGCATTGAAAATTCCGAACGGCTGCAACGTATTCTGTGGTATTTGCTGATTCGATTAGAAGTTGAAGATGAAAAATTTTGCCGATGCAAATTTTTGTTTGTGTGTGTGTGTGCGCTGCATACCAGGCTAAATGGGGGCTTAGCATATATTAACCTGAATGTGCAAATGCTTCGAAAGGGTAATAAATTTCGCATTTGAATTGGGATGGAATTAGAGACTCAACTGGTTAAGTCCAGTGAAATATTTAGAAACTTTGTAGAACTCTTTCTTGGAGAGTCGAATCGTGTTTGGGCCAGAGTTTGGAGCTGGAAGAGAGTTAACCATAGACTCGTATATGGGATATAGTTATGGTAGCCGAGCATTATAAGTTATTTAGTGATAGTAACCCTTTAACACGAGCTTGGTTGTCTGTGGTGCCCTACAAGATGATACTTGGGATTGCGTTTAAAAGGATTCGCACTTATTTTTAAGAGACCTACAGGCTTAACAATTAAGAGTGCTCTAGTCGGGAGTGCCCCGATACCCTGATGCCAGCACCAAGCTACATTTACCAACTTTCTAGCTTCCTCCTATACATATATACATAAAAACATACCCACGCACAGTAGATCTTGTGGTGTCATGAAATATGCGTACATTCTCAAGGAGGCAACATTCCTAAAATTGTGGGCACTATGAATTTTTATTTATTTGATTTTGCACGATGGTGATTTGATTTATATTTGATTTGAGAAGACAACCATGCACTCGCTATTATATTCTTACTTCGATTCTTATTAGATTTATCCAAATCCCAAATAAATTATTCCGCTCTCAAACAGCAGAGTTTAACTGCATGTTAACTTTTTGACCACTCCCACAGTTTTATAGCCGCCTTTTATGCTGCGCTTAGCTGTTGTACAAATTTTGCTGCTTATTGAATTGATTTAAACGATGGATACATGTTGCTCCAAAACCTAGCAAAAACAACAAATCTACACACATACCAACACACACCGGGAGGCGTATGCCGTGGCACCACATGTACTACGAGCTCTAGACCATCCAACATATCCCCTCTCAAAAGCACGCCCACAATTTTGACGCGACCACGCATAAATTGATGTGCGCTCTTGTTATGCCATTGATAGCCTATTGGGAGGCTGTACTGTTTGTGGGTGTGGGGCATGGGGTTAGAGAGCTTATAGCGGATGGCAAGCCGCTTTGAATGGTGCCGTATGAATAGATATCCATTTAAGCGCTGGTCATGTTGCTGGTCACAGCTGTGCGAGATTAAATTGAGCCAACAACCACCGCAGACAACAAACAATTGGCAATTTAATTGTTGGTGTCCGAGAGATGCGTCTCCAAATACCCTCTTCTGCTACCCCACTGCCCATTTCCCCTTGTCTCTTACGTCGCCAAGGGTGTTAAAGGTGCGGCGCTTCAATTTGCATAAAAAGGTTAGCTCAGTGCTGCCCCCCTTTTTGCGAAGGTAACTCGAAACCAACCCAACTGTTGCTGCTGCCAACCCCTCTTATTTTTTAATTGCGGCTCAATTTCCGTGCGTTGATTAAATATTTTAATTTTTGCGCACATTCCGCTTCGGGGCGACAGGTAAATTATATGCGATCCCTTAGCTTTAAATAGGTTTTGGTATTTTTGTGGTAAGCCCAACTATCAAAATGTTGGTTTATTTTGTAGTTAACAATTTGATTTGATTGACAAGAAGGCAGTCTGTGGGCTAATTGTCAGTTTATTAATCCCATTAAATTATAAGTTTGTTTGGGGCAATCAAATTTAAATAAATGTTTGTCACGCGTAATTCCTGTGGCCTACTTTTAGGCTGACCATTTTATTAAAACAACTTATTGACTATATAAGCAGTTATTTGAAATAATTTATTTATGTTAACGTAAAGTATTTGGCTGGCTCGGCTCTACCTTCTTTTTTTCCCCAAATTGTTGACTTGTAAAAATTTCTTTACTATTTTTAAAATATTTTTATTTCCTAGTCATCGTGTATACTAATAAAATATAGTTAATTAAAATTATTTTTAATTTTTACTTAATTAATTCATTTCCTCTACTTCTTTCTTCTCAGCTGTAGACTCTGAATAACTACACTGGCGAAAAAAGCTTTGAATAGGGACAAATCAAATACATCCATCGTGTCGGTGATGCCATTAAAAATATTTGTATTCTGATTAGGACTTCCGCTGTTTATTTTTATATTCTTATGTATTAAATACTTTGGTTAGAACGTTTAGTTTGCTATTTGACTGAATAGCGTTTGGGTCTTCTACAAACATAACAAACCCTTTAAATAGACGGTTTCTTCGAAAATTCGATCCGCAAATGGAATTAATTAAAAAGCAATGGAAAATTAATGGGAAAGTTAATTTTTTCTTGTTTTGATTAAGTAGCGAAGTTGAGGAGCGCAGTTGGCTGAGCGTCGGCACGCTTATCACGAGCTTCAGACAGAATATATTTTTTTTATAATGTGAAAATATGTGTTTTTAATAAATCCAACAGAAGTGGTCTCTTTTTTTGAAGTAGAGACAAGGAAATTTATAATGACGAGATATTTATAATATGATGAGGCTTTCTTAGCTAGCGTTAACTGGGTTTGTAGATTGGGCCGCAAGAGGGACAATGGGACCGTTTAATGTGCTAGGACTCAATATGTTCTGTGGCTATAACAGAATAATAATTGTATTTAAGTAAAGCAAACTTTTTTTCAAGCTTATCAAGTTTTAGATAAAGAAAACATTGATGAATTTAATGTACATTGTGAGGAAGACTTTAGAACTTCATTTTTTATTTAAAGTTTATTAAATAAATTACGATATTTTGTCCATATATGAGATATAATTTTTTATTTCCCCCTTTCATTTATAAGTAAAGAACCTTATATTAAGTTAAGGTTTTAAAATTTGATGAAATTTTAAAAGTTTTTTTTTTCTTTGATAAAATGTGTCTCTTTTATGTTTTGTTAGTATTTATTGGCGCACGCTCGAAAGTATGCATAATATATTTACATAATACATATGAATGCGTGGGCGTGTTTGTGCATTTACTCAAGCGTCTATCCAATTGCTGAATATGCCAAAAAAAAAAACAGAAAAGGTCGAGTTGTGTTGGGCAACCCTTGAAACATTTAATTTCCTTTTTGCATTACTTTTCTGGGCTTGCCGCTTCAAAAATTTAATTTCGTAATTGAACGATCTGATGAACCTAACCTGCCTGGTTGAAAACCCCCTTCGCCCAGCAATTTCCATTGCCACTTGACTTGGCTCTTGTGTAACAAGCAGCAATTTAATTGAAAATTTATCAGTTTCACATTTCATTTGCATATGTGCAGTATTTCCTCCAACTACACACACACACAGCCACACTCCCACTCTCACACACAAACACATAGGTCAGGGTATACTCTACGTTTTCCAATTTGCATCGTTGACATTTTTAGTACATTTGAGTGGGAGATCCTTGTGTGTGACCCTCATTGGTGCCAGCAATTTCCCCAAGTGCGCACCTTACAAAAATTTAGCCAAAGACTATAGACCAGAAATTGTTATTATTTGTTATTATTCCAAATAAGACGGCCTTAATATTTGCATTTGAACTATACACATTTTTGTTTTTTGTTATATTTCTGAAGCAGTCACCTGTCACGATACAGTCTAATTAAGTGATGGCTCAGAGAAAAAGCAAAAGCAGCAGACCGACGGTAGTTATAGATACTAGTTGGGTCTGTTGTCC